TTCCTTCCTTCCTTCCTTCCTTCCTTCCTTCCTTCCTTCCTTCCTTCTTCCTTCCATGTTTCCTTCTTTCTTCTTATTCTTTTCTCATTCAATCCACCCCTGCAGCAATTCCCCATGCCCCACTCCTTCCAGTTCCTCCCCTGTCTCCTGGATCCACTCCTCCATTTCCCTTCAGAAAACAGCAGGCCTGCCAGGCGTATCAACTGAACACAGCATAACAAGATACAATAAGACTAGGCAAAAACCCTTATATCAGAACTAGACAAGGTAACCGATTAGGAGGAAAAGGATCTAAAGGGCAGGCAAGAGAGACAAGTTTCCTCTATTATGTAGCTCTGGCTATCCTAGAATTCACTATGTAGACCAGGCTGCCTCTGCCTCTCAAGTGCTGGGTTAAAGGTGTGTGCCACCACACTTGGTCTGTACTTTTTTCCTAATGCTGCTGGGTATGAAGTGGTATCTTATTGTAGCTTTGATTTATATAATTTATTAAGTGTATTTTTATTTATGTACCTATGTGTGCAACTCCTTGTCTATCTGTGAGCCCACATGCATGTAGGCGAATTCAGGAGCCCAAAGAGGGCATTGCGATCCCTAGAACTGGAGTTACAGGGAGGTATGAGCCAGTGTGTATGAGCAAGTGTGTAGGTGCTGGGAATTGAACCCAGGATCTCTGTCAGAGCAGCAAGTGCTCTTAACCACCAAGCCATAGTTCTAACCCCTGATAGATATATATACTATATATAATATTTATATTATATTTTAAATTAATATTTTAATATTATATTTTAAAATATTATATATTATATATAATATTTCTAGCCCCTGATACATATACATATACATATATATATATGTATGTATATATGGAGAGAGAGAGAGGTTAGAATTGCAAGGTAACCTGTGAACACTGCTATTTGCCCTTCCTCCTGAGAGTTCCTGCTCATTATTTTGGTTGTCTTAGTTGCTTTCAACTCTCCAATATTCCTTAGGAGCAGTTCTCTTTCTAGCAAAGCATACACCCAAGGATTCCCTCAGCACTGCAAGGAAAATAATCCTATCAGGAAGAAGTGAGCTATACTTAGCAACATGGGGCTCAGAAGAAAAAGGATGCAGAAAGTCAAGGCAAAAATACAGAAAGTGTTGGGTGCATGTGAGCTGTCTGAAATATACAATCCTATGTCCTGCCAAGAAGAAACTTGCTTGTCTAAAAAGGAAATGATTAAACTGTCCTTTAAAATGGTGTAGTGGTTAGGACTAGATGCTCGACTAAGATGCCCATATTCAAAACCTGGGTCTACTGCTCATTAATAATATAACCCTAGACAACTTACTTCGTTTCGGTAAACCTTGGCATTTTTGGCCACACGACAGGGAGAAAAATTGCATCTATTTCCTTGTTGGTGCAAGTCAGTGCTTATACCAGTAAGTTTTAAATAAAAACCTAATTAAAGTTGTTACTGTAAGTGAGTTAGCTTCTTTTAAAAATATTTTGACCAAATTAGAAAAAGCTTTAGGAAGCAAGTAATGTGAACATTGGTGTCTTTGTGTACAGTTTTACAATGCACTCAGCTAAGAATGTCATTGGATTTCATTTACGGCTAGTATTTTCTTTTTCTTATGTTAATTTTTTGCATGCATATTAATTTATGCACCACCTGTATGTCTGGTTCCCTCAGAGGCCAGAATAGCTCATCAGATACCTAGAGCTAGAGAATCATCTTATGGATGCTGGGCCTCAATCCCAGGTTCTCTAAAAGAGCAGCAAGTGCTTTTAACTGCTAAGCCCTCTCTCCAGACCCTTTCCCCCTTTGTTTTGTTTTGTGTACAGCTGAGGATGACCTTGAACTTCTGATTCTCCAGCTTCTATCTCCTGAGGGCTGAGGTGACTGGCGTGGGCCACTCCTTCCCCTGGCTTCCTCAAATGCTGTTTTCTCGTCAGGTTTTAATCGCAAAAGGAAGTGCTTATTTAAAGGACTTGTTGCTTCATAGCTGCTTTCACGCTGATGTCTCACTTACATAGAGAATCCCACTGGGATTATTAATATATATGTTAGAGAACACAGGCAATAAAACAGCTTGCTGATGATTTTCTTTCTTTATCTGGCCCAGAAAGGAGGTAAGATTTCCACTGCTGAGTCTACTTTTATCACCAGTCCATTCAGTGAAAAAGGTCCCTTAAATCACATGCAGTTTAGTTAACTGATTTATTCATTTATTGTTAACAACTGAATTTCTTCATGCATTTTTAACGATGCCATGGTATTTACAAACATGTTTTGACAGGTCTTATGCAGAGACTTTAAAGAGGAACAGAATTATGATTATGCAGAAATTGTTTGGCTCAGTCCAGTAACACTTGATTCTGATGGGTCTTCAGAAAGTGAACAGTGTTCCTGTTTTGTCTCAGAATGGTTATCTCCTAGACTGCCTACTCTCTTGTGACACTCCTAACAGTGGGAGCAGCAGCCGTCTCTGACTCCTTTGCCTGCTTTTGGGACTGTTTTCCTCCTCCTGGGTTGACTCATCCAGCCTTAATATGAGGGGAGGTGCCTAATCTTGATAAGCCATGTTTGGTTGATATCCTGGGAGGCCTGCCCTTTTCTGCTGGGAAACGGAGGAGTGCTGGATGCAGAGCAGCTGGGAGGAGAGAGAGGAGGGGAATCTGCGGTCGGGATGTAATGTATGAGAGAATTTAAAAATGTGTGTCTCTCAAACTTTTCCCCACAATCCTTTGTACAGTACCCCCAGTCTCCCTATGGTAGGCTTCATGTTTATAAATAACTTCATTACGACAACAGCTTTGTTAGAACACGCGCTGTGAGAAGTTCTTATTTATTAGTAGCCAAGAATCATAATAATGGCTAGCACCTAGCCAGCGTGTAGTATGTTTTTATAAAATGGACGTTTCTGAAATTAACTTTTTTTGGCTTCTATGAGTCTACATTTACATCTTAAAATTGCCTCCACGAAATTAGAAAATATCGTTTTTGTTGTCGTTGTTGTTTTTGATGAGGTCTCATGTATCCTAGGCTGGGCTCAAACTTACTATGTAGCTGAGTTAAGTTTAAGGGTGTCCTTAAACTTCCAATCCTACCTCCCCATTCCCAGGGCTGGCATTGAAGGCATGTGCTGGGGCTTGAACCCAGGCTCTGCATGCCAGTCAGGCATTTATTAACTGAGTTGTGCCCGCAGCCCTATCTGTGTCTTTTAAAGCACAATTTTGTATCCTTTAAAATAAAATTGATACTTCAGGCAAGTGTATCATGGTCTTAAGATTACAATTATGTGTTTGAACAGTTTTCAAATTCTGCTCTGACTTTTTGTATTTTTAAACTTGAGTTAGACAAATGGAATGAAGACTATTACCTTCGAGATTTTTTTTTTTCAAAATGGCAAAATTAGAATGTGCTTAAGAATGTGGCACAAATAATAATACCCAAGGGTGAATTCTCTTCTTCCTTCTTAGTAGAAAATGTGTAGCTTTCCTTCCGAAAAGTTCAGTTCATTACCTGGTTCTTTGTTCAGTTTGCCTGGTCAAAACCGACAACCAGCGACTGAAGTTTTCTGTCTTTGCATCAGGATTGTGGCTCTCTGTTAGGGGACTAGCCCTTACTGAATGCAGTGCGCTCCTAAATAAAACTCCTCTAGCCAAACGTTTTAAGCTAACAATGTCCACAGAGACAAGCCAGATGGAAACAACTTTTTATTCTGCTTTAGCCCAGGTATACTCGGGCAATAGAACATATACTTCAATACGCTGGGTGGACATGAGAAAGGTTGCTCTACTGATACAGTCTATGGGAAATTAGGGACCATGTTCTCCAGACTGCGTGCAGATCTTCAGGGATTGTTGCATGGGATCACAAAGGAGATCTTTGGTCCAAAGAAGACATCTCTGAAAAAAAAAAAAAAAAAAAAAAAAAAGAGAGTAGCAGTTAAATTCACTGAAAACTGGGATACACGTCAGTCTCTTCTGGGTTAAAAATGGACAGTGCTTCCCAGGGTTTCGGGTAAGACTATTCATTGTAGGCAAATAAAATATGAAAGATGAGTAGAAAGACTTCCCACAGGGGCCACAAAGACCAAAAAGGAAGCTGGGTTTTCTTTCACTATTGATGCTATTATTTGTCTGTAAATAAAAGGGAAAATTAGGTCATTTCAAAACCTTATACGAAAGAGTTTACTTCTTCGATGTGGAGATGGGTTATGAAGTTTAAATTTGGGGCTAAGAGGCAAATCATTAGACATTTCTTAAAAAATAAAAAACATTAAACAACCTCCTAGATTTTATGCATATTCAAGTATGTTGAAGCTATTTTTATCTTTTTGTGTAGGAAAGATGGCCTACGGTAGCATGAAAAATGGAATAGTATAAAATATTATGTGTAGGGTACTATGATTCTGACTTACTGGAGATACCCTTTGCCAGGTCTGGTGCCTCATGCCATGAATGCAGCACTTACGAAGCTCGGGCAGGCGGAGTGCCCTAAGTGTTCAAAGTCTCCAGGTTAGTCTCTTTTATGGAAGAAGTTCCTGCCAGTTTAAGCTATACTTGAGATCTTCTCTCAAAAACAAATTGTAATTGAACCATGAGCCTATTAAGTAGATGAAATTTATTAATATCTATAAAGGACTTATTATCACGGTAAATAATAAACCCTTATTGAATGTTATATTTATACAACATTTAAAACAAAACAATATGTTTCTCGATTGTTATAATCATGATAAAACAAAATAATTGAAAAAAACTTATAAAAATATGTATAATGTTAAAAATCTATTAAAGTTGGACATACTGTATTATATATATTTATGTAGATCTTTCTTTCTTTCTTTCTTTCTTTCTTTCTTTCTTTCTTTCTTTCTTTTGAGACAGGGTTTTTTTTTTATGTAGCCTTCGCTGTCCTGGACTCACTTCGTAGGCCAGGTTGGCCTGGAACTCACAGAGATCCGCCTGCCTCTGCCTCCCAAAGCACTAGGGTGCTGAGATTATAGGTACGGACCACCATGCCCAGCTTGTGCAGATTTTCAAAGTGCGTGTTTTAAATTGTTGTGTAGGGAAGTCATTAGGAAATGTATCTTCATACCAGTGCTACAAGGTGAGGATATATATTTATAAATTAATCACTTGGAAAAAAACACATCACAATAAAAGATGATTTGTTTTGTTTTGTTTTGTTTTTGAAGACAGGGTCTTTCTGTGTAGCTCTGGCTGTCCTGGAACTCACTCTGCAGACCAGGCTCATTTCAGACTCACAGAGATCCTTCGGCCTCAGCCTCCCAAGTGCTGGGATTAGAGCCAAGTACCTCTACCGTCCAGCTAAAAGATGATCTCTTAAGAGTTTTTCCTACAAAGATTTCATAGCAATACATTTTGAAATTTAATTTCCTTACTTTGGGCAACAGAGCAATTCGCTGAAATTGCAGTAACAGATCATCTCGCATCCCTTCCCATCCCAGAAATGATGTTGGACGTTTGTGTCGATTGGGGTCAGGTCGGCTCTGCCCTCCGGAAGGTTGTGACAGTTACGATCTTTCAGCATCTTTCTGTAGCAGGAGAGGCGACTTGAAGGCATGGCTTGAGCTCCTAACAGCAAAGTTAGCCCGAGGGTGACAAGTACCACAAACTTCATCGTGGCTTTTGTTCCTGAGATAGAATAACAAACAAAATAGGTCTGCATTTGTTATTTAAAAGGTGAGGTTCATCTGAACAGAAAGTTTTGCATGTTGTCATAAACTTGAATACAAAGGGAGTTATTCTTTTCCATGCACTTTGTGTTTTTCCCAAGGCACCTTTCTGACCCTTTACATTGCTTTTTAAAGCAAAAACACTTGAAATACTTGTCTAAAAATTCAAATGTCTGGACAACACCTAAAAAAAAAAAATAGTGAGAGCCAGGGAGATGGCTCAGCTGCTAAAAGACTCTAGCCCAGGTCTGAGGACCTGAGGTCAATCCCTGTGAGTCACGTAAAGAGCTGCAGACGATGGCAAGCACTGTAATTCCAGCAGTCCTCTGATGAGGGGGAGGAAGAGACCAGCAAACAGCTCAAAAGCTCACAGGCTGGCTAGCTTGGAGTAGACAGCAGCGAAAACAACAGTTAGTGAGATGGATGGTGAGAGAACTAACTACTCAAGGAAGATATCCGAAGTTGTGAAGCGTTCCATATCGAAACAAACAAACAAACAAACAAACAAACAAACAAACAAACACCCATCTTGTCCAAGGCAAATGCTGGACCAAACACGAACGGTTCCCTGTTTTTTTATCTGCACTGCCAAGGCTGAGTGGCTGGATGGCAAGCTTGTGGTCTTTGGGAGGGTGAAAGAAGGCGTGACCGTCGTGGAAGCCATGGAACGTTTTGGTTCCAGGGATGGCAAGACGACCAAGAAGCTCACAATTTCCGGCTGTGGACACCACACCATTCCTTCTGTAGCTCAGGAGAGCACCTGCATCCCGTTTGCTCGAAGTACCCTGTCATCTCTGCTCTCACTGAAGTTCTTAGGTTCTGTATTTTACTCCCTCCCCTCCAAGTCTCGCTGGATCTCAGAGTTAAGCTTATGATTATGAATAAAAAGTAAATAAGAAAAAAAGAGGACCTCCGTCCTCCTGACTTCTGTGCTGGCTCAGATGTCCATGCAAGGTGGACACTCTCACGAGCACGCACACACGCTCACACACACGCACACACACACTTGCACACATTCACACGCACACGCATGCTCATTCACATGCACGTGCACACACACGCACACGCCCAAGAAAAAAATGTTGACTGAGAACTGCTAAGGGAGAGGAGACTAAGGATGAGAATCTTCACTTAGTAAGGTACCCAGAGTCACACAGTTTTTGCATGTACTCGCTCAAGAACAACTGCTTTTAAGATAACATAAACTCATAAAAATCTGTAGAGCAAGTAGCGTTGCCAAACACAATGAACCTCAGTCCCACCCTGACAGAACAAGAAACCTATTTAAATGCCGATAAATATTTTATAAATACTTCGATAGTCCCAGTTATTTTCAGATATTCCAGAATTATTCGTTGGACTCATTTTTTTTGTTACAAACTTTTTATGAGTTTCTCAATAATATTCCCACCCAGACTGCTTCTCTGTGATTGAAGACGGAGGATTGAAGTCTCTCTTCATCACGTGACGTGGCCATGGTCATGGCCCCCTAACGTGATAACGTGATAACTGCAGTGAACGTACTCTGTTGACATCGTTCTAACGTCCCACTTGCTGTAAAATAGTTTTCCATATTTCCATAGCTTCTACCCACCAGTCTTGGTTTGAACCTTTGGGGTCATACCAAACAAAGATAGCTCCTCGGGAGATAACCCTTTAATAGTGGTTACACAAGACGGGGCTGCTCATCGTGTATGGAAACAGTCTGGTCTAGCTTCAGTGTTAGGCCTGGAGGGAGTGGAGATGGCTGCGGGGGGAAGGAGGATGACAACACAGATCCAGAACCCACAGCTGTGCACACTGGCTTTGCTAACACGCAGATGTATCTTTCTGGCACAGGCTGAGAAAGGGCACTCCTCTTTGCACGCTGCGCTTGAAGGATATCTGTTTTTGGGCTGGAGAGATGGCTCAGACTTTAAGGGCTGTTCTTCCAGAGGTCCTGAGTTCAATTCCCAGCAACCACGTGGTGGGCTCCCAACCATCTATAATGAGATCTCGTGCCTTCTTCTGACATGTAGACATACGTGCAGTACAGAATACTGTATTCTTTTTTTTTTTAATAGAAAAGTTGTTTTTAATTAACATACAGAGCAATGGGTCTCAATGTGGCATTTTCATACACACTTGCTTTGGGCTCTCCTCCCCCCTTTTTTCCTTTGTACTTTTCCATCTCCCCCACTCCTGTACCCTTTCATCTAGGTCCCCTTTCTGCTTCTATATCAACTTTTTTCTATTATCCTCTTTTTTCCTTTCCCCTTCCTATGCCCTCTTGTTTTCCTCTCTTCCATTCCTCTTCTGGTCTCATCACCTATAATCATTTACACAACAGAAGAGCGGACATGTGTTTGTCTCTCTGAGTCTTGCACTTTGAAGGAAAACTGTATTGCTGAAAGGAAATGAAAGTATGAGATTTCCAATGGCGAGATACAGCTTCTGAGTAACTCATCTTAGGTAAGATGTGAAATTTTGAATAAAGACTAATTTATTTTTAAAGTTTAGGAAATAAAATTGTCCATCATATTCCTATAAGTTTCAGGTTTAATTTTATATTCTAATTTGAGTTAGTCATCTTTGATATGGCTTGTAAATTTTAGAATTGTGCACACCTAATTCTTATGTATAAACATTACTAAAAGAAGTGACAGGCTAGAGAGAAGGCTCATTGGTGAAGAGCGCTGGCTGTTCTTCCAGAAGTTCTGAGTTCAGGTCCCAGCACCCACATGGTGGCTCACAACCATCTAAAATGGGACCTGATGCCCTCTTCTGTCATGCAGCCATACATGCGAATAGAGCATTCATAGACATAAATAAATCTTTTTTAAAAAGAAATGACAAAATGCGATCTACTTATGCATTCTCTGATTTAATGCAGCAAAACATGAGTTCTACAGTGTATCACAATCTAGCATATATGTATACATTATATATAACATGTGTATATGCTATAATATATAATATACACATATATATGTTAGATTGTCAAATACTGTAGAACTAATGTTTATGTTAACTAACATATATATGTACTATATATGTATATATATATTATAACCTTCAAAAAGAATTTCTTAGCAGATCATAGATTAAAATTCATACTTAATTTTACTTTTAGTTTTAGTTTGGTTTGGTTTTGAGACAGTCTCATGCAGCCCATGCCCACAAGTTATGTGGCCGTGGACTCCTGATCCTCCTGTCTCCACCATCCAAGTGCTGCTGGCATTACTCATGCCAGCACTCTTAGAGTATACATACGGTTAAAATGTTAATGTCACGAGGTGCTCCCATTCTCAGTTACTTCAGATGAGGCCCTTCTTTAATACCCATGAGATATATTTTTTAAAAAACAAAGCCACCCACCCCCTGAAACTTTTTTCAAGAAGGCTGGAGCTACCACTTTGTGAACCTTTACTGGGTGGCAGAAAAAAAAAAAAAATCACATCCTGCATCTTTAAGGACGTATTTGTGTAGAACTAAACAGGCTCCATTCAGCAGGTGAAGTTTTTTTTTTTTTTTTTTTTTACAGCTTTTTGAAGTGGCATCGACATATAAGAAACTGCAAATAGTTTATACATCCAGTTTGTTAACTCTGGGTATGTGATTTTTCTTTCCCATGAAGTCATCACTGCAACCAAGATATTAATCATATAATTGCTGCTAAGTTTCCTTACACCCTTTCATTGCCCTCCTTGCTTTATATCCCATCCAGAAACCACTGATTTGCTTTCTGAAGCCACAGATAATATTCATCTGCTAGAATTTAATATTAAATGGTATAAATAAAATCATAAAATCTTTTATGGGGGTTATTTAAGTACAGTAGTCTTGAGATTTGTATATTTTATTGCTAAATATTTCATTGTACATACTATAAACTGTCTATCAAATTGTCTGCTAATAAACATTTGTGTCATTTTCATTTTGGGACTGTTAAACTACTGAGAACACTTCTATATAAGTCTTTGTAAGATCAGGGAAAATATGGACATGTGGACTAGCTAGCTAGACTGGATGGTGAGGTCCACCTCAGTGTCATTCCTGAAGAATGACACTTCCTAATTTTTATTTTACTTAATGTGTATGTTTTGTCTGCATGCCTGGATGTGTACCACACGCAAGCCTGTTGCGTGCAGTGGAACTGTGCTCATGGATGGTTGTGAGCCACCATATGGGTGCTGAGAATTGAACCCAGATCCTCTGCAAGATCACCAGCTGCTCTTGATGAACCAACTCTCCATGCCCCTTTGGTTCTTAAGACATTATCTCTTTCTCTCCAGGTCTGGGGCTTGCCAATAGGTTAGGCTGGCTGGCCAGGGAGCTCCAACGGGTCCCCTATCCGTACCTCTCCAGTGATAAGATTACAAGCATGTACTGCCACTTGTGCCCTTTTTCCCCCGTGTGGATCCTAGGCTTCAAACTCAGCCTGTCATGTTTCCATGGCAAGTACTTTACCAGCAGAGCTATTGCCCCGGCCCAGCCCTAGTATATTTTAACTTTTAAAGAAACTATCATACTGTTTTTACAAAGTGGTTATGTGATTTTATATCCCCACCAGCAGTGTGGTTTCTACACAGACTCCTGATTTGGTCACTTTTTACATTTTTTTTTTTACACTTTTTACATGTATTTTTAAAGCATACATATGTAATGGTATATCATTAGTATATATTGTCTTTCTTATTCGTTGTTGATGGTGAGTCTCTTTATACTCAACAATTTTTTTTTTCTGGTGTTTTCTTTGATGAAGAGTATGTTCAAGGGCTGGTGAGATGCCTCAGCAGATGAAAGTGCTTATGGCCAAGCCTGATAATAATCTGAGTTCAATCCCTGGGACCTACCCAGTGGAAGGAGAGGACTGACTCTTACAAGTTTTGCTGACAGCCCCAACCTAAAATAAATAAATAAATGCAATTATAAAAATTACATTTCAGCTTCTGTTGTTCATCTAAGAATAATTGGATT